ACTCTTTAAAAGTCAAATCAGGCAGTTTTTGTATTCACAGTACTTATTTTGTTGAGAGATGTCGGTGGTAGTGAGTTTAGGCTCACTGGGGGCCTTAATGATTTGGGATGCAAGCGGCTTCCAGAGTTGACATTCCACATTGAGCCACAGCACTTCTGCAAATTGAGAAGAGATGGAAAAAGAGGGAGCATGTTGTTTATAAGTAATTGCGGCGGGACCGTTTGTCTGATACCACAAGCCCAGCGCTCTTGCCAAACGTTTAGCTTTGCCACAAGGAAAGTTTGACAATGACATTATTAAATAGAATATTATGCATCATTAAATTATGTACTTAGTTAAATTTACATTTAACAACAAAGTTTATTCAATTTGTTAGTGTAATTCATTGATTCTGTGTATATCACAACACCCAATTTAGACCTACAAATAATATGCCAATATTTATGAATATATTTTAGATGATTATTATTATTTTTTGGTTTATGCTAGACACAGAAGCTGACATACAGTTGACAAACTGACAAAATGCCAGTCATCTTTAAAAAACCACAGACTTTATTCAGTGTTCTCTGCATTCCAAAATGCTTCAGGTCTAACTAGAAAGATTGAAATGTCACATGGCCAGACACTGTGTGCATGCATCAGTTACAGGAATCATTTCTGATTCATTGCAGTCCTGTTTTAAGAGGTTGCTTTTCCATACGTCCTAGAACCCTGAAGCTTGAATTGGAGAAAATGTGCACACTGAACTGTGATCCGGTTTTAATTATAGATTGGAGCGTTTCATTTGTTGTCCTGTTCATAATGAAAAGGCACTTGCGTGTATTTGCTGACAGTTTTGCCTGAATATAATGACTGTTTTCGGTCTTTCTGTGCAAATGGTTTCTGTTTCACTGCTCATGGCACAGACTGGATTGCGTAATTCTTTGTCATTTGTTCCAGCCCATTTCTGAACCGCTTGACTTTGAGGCCTTGTTTCCACTTATTTGAAGATTAACTGCTGATTTCCCAGTGGGCATGCAATGAATTAGGAGGAATATGGTCCTCACTGGTACACATTTTGGAGCAGATTATATACAAGGATATAGATTTTATATGCCTTTATCGTTATATTAAGCAATTTTAGGTTTATTGGTTTGTTCTATTTTATACATGGATGCAGTGGGGTCTGTAAGTCTGAGATCACTTTAAAAATTGACTTTTTAAAGCTACAATAATCAAAGGATTAAATACTAATCATTAATAAATAAATAAATGAATGTTAAAGTTGTGACATTAAATGTAAAACAAAAATACAATTCTGCAATCAAATAATTTAGTGTCATTGATATGATTCTGTCAAATGTTCTTCTTTTGAAATTCAAGATGCACTTTGGATCATTTCAAATCATTCTGGAGAACATGATCATCAGGTTTGACACAAACCTATGGAGTTTATGGAACATATAGGAATTTTTTTAATTGAACTTTTTACTCAAATTTTTATTCTAATAATACAATGCATATTTTATTTTTTATATCTTATTGTATATTTATTTTATTTTATAAAATTGTATTAATGTTTCTAGTTAACAGTTTGAACTTTCCACATTTTAGAATACATTAGTAGTCAATAAAACAATTGTAATAACACAAACACTATATATACACACAAACGTACACGCAATAATGTGTATGTAAATTTAAGCCAAAAGGTTCATGAGAAATATGGCTTGCATATTATAATCAATTCTGAACATTTATTTATTTTTGTATATATTTATTGAATTATTTGGATATAGTATCAGAGTATAGCCTTGACACCACAAATTATTGTATTGTATTTAGGAAGATTTGGAATCCTTATATGATTTGATTTGATTTTCAAAAAAATGAAAATTCATTTGTCATTTATTCACTTTCTTTTGATATTTCTGATTTCTAATTCATAAGTAATGCATAATAAAATCATTGTGGGAGTATGAAGTCAAAACAAGCTTTAGAAGGAAAATGGAGAAAGGAAGTATTAAAAGAGCTAGAGGGCTTGTTCACAAAAAGAAGTTTGGCAAATAAATAAAACCAGTTGGCCAGTCATTTTATAAGGAATTGCAACAAAGTACATAGTGCTCCTTTTCTATTGCATGGTTCATTCTCCTACTTCCATTTACTATTAGCTGATCCTCTATTCTGCGTTTGTTCCCGTCCTAAGTTAAACACAAAAGACAAATTACAAATCCAGCTCTTAACATTGCACCTATAGCTAAGAAGCTCATCCCCATCAAATTCAGTCTAAGTGGAAAGTTGCTTAGTAGCGCTCCATCATTGCAGCTGCTGATGTATGGAGGCTTTCACTGCTATCTGGAACAGCTACAGAGCACAGGGCTGACCTCCATGAACTGTGATGTAATCAAAGTCAGCCATGTGTTACTGCAAAATAAAATAAAGATGTTGGTGGTTGAAGGAATCCCCTCACTTTTATCGCCCTCAGAGGGATTGTTTAGCACTGTGTATGTGTCTATGGGAATGAGTAATGCCACTGTGGCAGCCGCTCAAGCCCTGCACTCGAGGAAGGAGGCCGGCTGCTGCTGTGGTCGTGGTGGCGGGTGATGGAGGCTTGATAAAGGAGATCAGAAAAGGCTTTTGTTTTGGCATTTGGTTGCTCTAAATCAGGCAGAAAATGACTAGTCTTGTTGCCGAGATGGTACGCACATGGAAATCACATTCACTGAAACATGTCGGTGGAGTTACAGTTTACCCTGTTCATCATTTGTAATTGCTTTGAAATTAGTTTTTCCTTAAAATATCATAAGCAGTCTCCCTTAGTACTTCTTCAAATCTTTGTCATAATATTATCATTTCCACACCAGGCTCCCTGATTGATGGTGTTTCCTGCCATAGATTATCTCAGCACCGTTTAAAATCAGCTGCAGTTCTTACCACTTTCTTTGTTGAATAAAAGGGGGGGAAATCACTTTTCTGTTCCTCTGTTGCAAATCCAAAGGAGAAAAATCCAAGTTGTGGTTCATTAAATTCATTCTTCATTTTAGGGCAACATCTAAATGATGAATGAGAGTTAGCTTCCTGTCAAGTCAGCTCTCCATTCCCTAACTATTGTCTGAGTGTAAATGTATCTAAAAATCTGGCTCATTGGAGTAACTTGGCTGGTAAATGACTAATATAATCTAATTATTACAGTCTTTCAGTTTCTTGCAGATGCATGCCATTTGAATGTGGCATTCAGTTTCTTTCACTTCATTCAGTTTCCAAATACTAACTCCCTTATATAGATATGATAGAAAAATGTATTTTTTAGTTTTTCTTATTTTGTTGTTTTTACTTTTGAATGTACCACCTTTTTTGTTTCTATCGTCACACTTTGAAAACCTCTGATTTAGATATTTCACACCTGAGAATGATAAATAAGCTGATCCTAATTTACCCACCGTTATGTATTTTATTTTATTTAGTTATTTGTTGTTGTTGTTGTTTTGTTTTTTAAAGGAAATATTTCACCCAGAAATGAAAACTGTCATCATTACTTCACCCTATTTTTGTTGTTTTGTTTTGTTTTTTGCTTTGCTTTGAGTTTTTTGTTTTGCTTTGCTTTGCTTATTGTTTTTTTGTTTGTTTGTTTTGTTTTTTGTTTTGCTTTGCTTTGCTTTTTTTTGCTTTGCTATTTTGTAGTTGTTTTGCTTTGCTTTGCCTTGCCTTGCTTTGTAAAGGAATACTCAAAAAATCCTATGCAACCTATGACACCGAGGGCATTTTCCACAGAGTTAAACAAGATATGAACATTAATAATGGAAAAACAGTACTGTGTGATTACATCTCTGGAGACTGGTGGAAGGCCATCTGCCAACAATAAGGTTTCACGGACTGTTACTTGGATTGTTGGACAAAATCTCTCACCAAACCTACAAAAGAGTGAACTACAGTATGTGTATCTGTCTAACACAAGAAGAGCATGTTGAAGTACTTTGTGGAAATTCACTTCAGCATTTGATGTGATAAAGCCATGTGTGATGGAATTCTTCAGTTAATGAGCTTTTTGTAAATCCTATAACAGGGGTTTTGCACATGGTCATCCCCACATATTCAATAGCACATGTGCTGTAAAGAAGCATTGGGTGAAATTATGCCACTCATAAAGGCATTCTAGACACTGAGCCTGTTTATTGTGGTAATGCGCTTTCTATAAATGAGAAATATACCCAGGGCCTGGAGTTTGGGTGCTGAGTTCTGGGAAGTTATCCCTTAATACAATTTCATTAGTCTCCCAATGGGTTGTGTCTTGTTTTTCATATTTAACATATTTGCAGACAGCTTTATTTAGATCAGAAGTCTTAGTGGGGCTCCCCTCTGACAAAATGTACAAAACGGCGCCTCCACAAGTCCCCCATTCTAAAGTTAGTAGCCAATTGGGAGTAACTCTGTTTATTTGACAGAGGCAGTATACTACTGAATTCGTTATACTGAGTATACAGTATAAGGAATTAACAGAGGCAGAGCTGAGATGAAAAATATGTTCTATTATTATTCCATTATGAAAAGTTCACCAAGTTAAAACAAGAATATTATTATATAGAGTTTAAAATGTATTCAAAGACATAACTAGAACAGTTTTCCTAATGTAGTTGTCTTTGAATACAGTTTTTATATATTAATATTTTGTGTTTTTTTCATCATATTTGAATGAATTAACAGAGGTAACTGAGATGAAAATATTTGGTGATGGTAATGATAATTTTTAAATTGGATGTATTAATATATTTTTTTTAATTTAATTGAAAATAGTAATTTTGTCTGCTTGTATTCTATTATATATGTTAATTTGATATTTTAAATTTGTATATATATTTTTTCTTGTTCCTATCCTATCCTATATTTTTTTTACTTGTTCCTAAGTATGCACTTTGAATACCTTTTGATTTAGATGTTTTAGATTTAGACATCCATTAGCTGTTCCTAATTTTCTGAATAAATGACCTGTTCATTCCTTATGTGCTTTCTGTTCTGAACAGTTGATCAGTCGAAAGGACAAGGCCACATTTGAGAAACTTGACTTCCTGACGTCAAAAGAAGAGAATTACAACCGCATGAGAGAGTACATCAGGTCCCTCAAAATGGCCCCCTGCATCCCCTACCTAGGTAAGTGTTATTAAAAGATCACATTTGTACTTGAGTTAATGGTATTTTGTACACTCCATCCCCTCATATCATGACAACATCCAGCCAGAAATGTTTTGAGAGATTTACTGGCTTTATAAATAGTTTTTTATTGCGGGGTTGCTATTAATAAGGCTGTAAATAAAGCTGAAGGTGCTTCATTTGAACAGAAGAATAATTTGGGTCAGGGAAAGGAATGGGTCATGGCCCACTGGACTTAGCCAGGCTTGTGATATTGACTCATTCAATTACTTCAGTATAATGGCTTTTACTTTTTTTTGATAAGGTTCATTTTAAGTTGGCTGTGAACACCTCATTATATTTTTTTGGCCTTGTCTCAATTGCACTTTCTATGGTGACCAGCAGAGGGTGTTTCAGTATACTGCTGTGGTTCAGTAATGATTGAGAAATGTGCCATATCCGGTTTTAGGTGTCAACACGGGAAAAAATTACCTTCATCAAATCATTTCAGGTGTTTTTAGAATTTCTGCTATGCATAAACCGAAAAGCTCTATGACTTTCTAGCCACTTCAGTGACTTTAAACGGAATGTAGAGATGGAAAATACAATGAAATCATGTTGAAGCACTTATTTCCAAATTGGTAGCCCCTTTTTCTCTTATGAATAGATGTCTGTCAGAGACTCTCATTGGATGTTGCAAAAGGCCAGTGAGCGATTAGTTACACACACATCAGTCTCCTCTAAAGGCACTGACAGCACTTGAAATGGATGCCTCCCTCAGGATTGTCGCTCTCGTGGGGAGCAGGATCCAGATCCTTCACTCAATTACGCTCTTCCATCTTAGTCATCAGAAGCAAGGTCCGTATTACTAATCCAGCTGTTAACCGAGAGCCAGACTTGATCAGGAAGGGATCTGGAGGCTTTGCCTTTAGGAGGCTTTTTGGATGTTTGGCTATCTTGTTTTTTTTATGAGATGCTCTTTTTAAGATGTGAAAGTTTGATTTTAAAGCGCTCTGAAACAGACCGTTCAGTATGTCATTGCCACATGTTTGCGTTCCAAGCTCATGGTCACAGAGTTTTCCAGGTGCTCTTGTGTCATTGTGGTATGTGAATAACTAAAAGGCCAGTCAGGAATAACTTCAGGCGGCTGTATCTCAAATTGTCTCTTGGTCTGTAACTTGTGGGCTGCTTCTTTTCTAGAGGTCTGAAATGCACAAACAGACAGTCACTGTCATTTCTAAGAAGGTAAACATGCGGAGAGAGCTGACGCATGCCGTCTCGCTTCTCTCAGCCGCACACATTTTTCTCATTAACCGAATTTCCTTTACATAATCCACATTGAGAGTCTGCTTCCACTTGGGCAGCGTGTCAGTAAACTGCGTTCCACTCAACAGAGGGCTTTCTCAGACGTCACTCAGCAGAAACCGCTGTACCTGGTGCCGGTAGCTTGTGGTTTTAGTTGCAGTGTAACTTATTCCCATTTCTGAGCAGCAGGCAGTTAAAACCGCAGGGACGGAAAGACTGTCTGACGTGGCTGAGGTTGTGCAGGCTGTCACTTCAAATCTGTCAGTTTCCACTGTGCTTCTCCAGTGGCCCTTTCCATTTCCCACTGGGACAAAGGAAAAAGGAAATGAAATGGTTTGGGGTTTTGTCAAACACTCTTTTAATTCTTTTTGATGTATTTAGTAGAACTTGCATTATTGATTTTACTACCAAAAAAAAGATTGATACAATTGGTTTGTACTAAAATAACTGATGCGTCCTGAAAAGACGCATCCTGGTTTACACTTGGAATAGAAGTTTATGGGAAAATTGCACAGCATCACATGTTGAATAATCACAACTTATTGTTTGAAAAATGTATCATGGTACTGTTTCTAAAGTATTAAAGCCATAACTTACCAGCTTCACTAACAACAGAAATGTGGAGTTTAAAAACTATTAGCCTTAAAGGCAGAGTAAGTGATTTCTGGTAGCTGATGTTGATATTTGAAATCACCAAAACAAACACGCCCCTACCCCAAAAGGGTCTTGCCCCTATTTTGATAGCTCCGCCCCACATATACGTACGCAACCCAGGCAACGATTAGTTCTGTGAAACAAAGCAAAACCAATATTACACCGTGTCTACGGATGTGAGCGGCGCGGCGCAACAAATCCCGACAGAAAACTGCTGCCGGGTTCTATTTATGACGTGCTGACACAAATTTCAAATGGTTTTCAACGGTCGTTTGATCGCGTCCGGTGTAGGCAGACTTTAGCTGTTGTAGGCACGGTGTTACTCACCTATTGAGAAGAAACAAAGCAACCTCGGCGTCCGATCGCAGGCCTCTGCTCCTTGAGTTCTCTCCAGCACTGGAAAGCTGATCCAATATTTTACACGGGTCCTACTTCTTGCCTTATCGTTCCGCAGACGTTTTCCTCTTTTGTTTTTTATCCGCCATCTCTATCTTTCTGTCGCTCGGCTCGGCTAATGTCTGTCCCATGCACTGAAAGCTCTCTCCTCCACATCACGAGTAGACACGCCCCTTATTGCTGATTGGCTACAAGTTTGTTTTGCTATTCTGCCCGAATCAGTTTTCTAAAGTGTTTTTGAAAAATCACATACCCTGCCTTTAAAGGGATAGTTCATCGAAAAATTAAAATTCTGTCATTAATTACTCACCCTCATGTCATTCCAAACCCATAAGACCTTTGTTCATCCTCGTAACATAAATTAAGATATTTTTGATGAAATCTGAGAGCTTTCTGACCCTGCATAGACAGCAACACAACTACCACATTCTAGGCCCAGAAAGGCAGTAAGGGCATCGTTAAAATAGTCCATGTGACATCAGTAGTTCAATCTTAATTTTATAAAGTTATGAAAATAATTTTTCTGCTCAAAGAAAACTAAAAATAACTTTATTAAACACTTTCTTCTCTTCCGTGTCAGTCGACGCGATTTTATTTCATTTAATCAAAAATATCTTAATTTGTGTTCTGAAGATGTACAAAGATCTTACAGATTTGGAACGACATGAGGGTGAGTAATTAATGACAGACTTTTCATTTTTGGGTGAATTATCCCTTTAATGAAGTTTGAGAACTACTTCAGGTAAAAAAAACTAATTGCCTAAACCAATCTGCTTTCCAAATATCTGTACAGCTTTTTATTTTAAAGCTGTGGTCAAATTTGCCATTGTTCTACAAATAATCCAGTCATTTCAATTATTTGAAAATGACTGGTTTTAAAGTGACTTCTGTAACGAGCTGTGCTTCGTCTAAACAACTGACAACAGACAATGGACCTTTTTGCCTGGAAATTTTTCCGAAATTTTTGCAAATGTGATCTTAAATCATTAAAAGAACTGTAATCATGTCACACAGATCTAATAACCTGGAGATAAAATAACTAATAAAAGCAAAGTCATTTATTTTTTTTTTTTATCAATTTAAATCAAATTGTTCAATTTTTGATTCCTCTTGTACAATCGGCTAGATTTAGATTTCCCACCATAGACGGGACAAATTAAAATGAGTGTAATTCAGCAGCAAGCCACAGATACTCAGTGTAGCTTGTTATATTTATATTTGTATAACATTTACCTAGTCAAAGAGCAAATTTGTTGTATGTAGCATTTTTGAATGAATTGCTTGTGCTTTTTATTTTGGCTCATAAACTTGTCAGGAGAACAACTACAGCTGTAGTAGACCGATGTTCAATCCATTCACAGACAAATAATAATAATAATAATAATTCCTTACATTTATATAGCGCTTTTCTGGGGACTCAAAGCGCTTTACATAGAAGGGGGGAATCTCCTCAACCACCACCAGTGTGCAGCATCCACCTGGCTACAAAGCCTGTAGCTGTACATCCTTTATTGCAACAGTTTGACAGTACTTGGGGAAATCAGTTACACTTACAGTATATTACAAATGACACATTATTTTCAACAATATTACGTGTATATGTACATAAACATGTTTGATCTTCATTTGACACCAACAGCTAATTTACACAGTAAATACAGTTTAAATGGAGCAATTGATGACTGTTTTAAGATGTGTTTTTATGTTTAATTATGCATTAACTACAGCATTATATGAATTTTAAACATGATATTCCTGAAATAAATTCTGAGTCATTCATCTCATCAGGAAATATATATTCTCATAGCTTTGAATAAACTAGAAAAGCATAAGCTATTTATCACTGGATTGGATGTCCTGTGTCTTAGTTGTAACAATGAATGAATACTGATCAGATTATTTTCTAATATGTTATGGCCTATTTAACAAAATAATTCTAAACAACAGACGACAGATTCACAATTGCACTGTATATTTAAAGATGTACAGGTTTCACTTGATTTGATTGAACAAGAGTGAAAAAGAACATCATGTTCATGACTTCCTAGTGACAATTATTGTAAGGGAAACTGGCCAATTTATCACACTTCATTTTCTGTGTTGTAAATAGCTTTCTTTTGTAGTCCATGACAATTTGGTGTTCCTTCTCAATTACATCAACCAAGACACTGTTAGTCCTTTTGCCACATATATTATTGAACTGTTACATAAGAAGCCAAACCACAATCTAAATGAACTGCACTTTATAGGGTGAACGGCGACTGTTGGGGAGCAGTTATCGGTTCATTCCCTGTGTTTATGTGCTGCTCAGTGGAAGGTGTTGGGGTTGGGTCGTATCATCATCACAACCTTCTTGAGAGAGTAGGCGCCTCCTCTGAATTCAGCCCAGTACACGCCGTCCTGATAGCGGCTGCGGTAGTGACCTCCTCTGTACCACACGCCATTCAAATTTGAGTGGGCACAGGCATTATACCACCAGCCTCCCTTTTGATAGTGGGCACAGTTGCCTGAGAAAAAAAAACATGTTTTTGTTAAGATCATGGGTCAATAAATAAATTATAAAATCTAATAGCTAAATTTTACTGGTACCTGTGTATACATCATGATCTCTGTCCAGAGTGGTGAACTGCTTCCCGTTGTGCCAAGTTAGGGAGTCACCGGCATTG